GACGGTGAGCTGTCACCTCGCTCAACGTCTCATCTCGCCTCTGCTCACCGACGTGAGAGTGGAAGCGGGGGGCAGACAGCCCACCCACTCATCACTCAGCGCCGCGACCACCGACACCCCCTTGTGCCGCCTTTAGTGAGGGGAAGCCCCTACCACGCTTGACTCGCTGAGTGGATCTCCTGCGTCGTGCGCGTGCGTGCGTGCGTGTAGCCCGGGGCTCCGTCCTCCTCAACAGTTGCCACCGGAGAGGAGGAGGAAGAGGAGCAGTGTGGGAGAGACAAGCAGACTGAGGACGGAAGGGACGCGGAGAGCCACGCAGCTCCTGCCCCGGCTTCTGCTCCTGACATGCAGTCGCTCATCTCTCCGGTGACCAAGGCCATCCTAGTCGCACTCTTCATCTTCGCCATACTCCTCATCCTCTACGTGATCCTCTGGTACATTTGCAGGGACGTGGACTGCGACCACGGCATCTGAGGATTCCTTTCATTTTCAAAGCAAAACCAGAAGAATAAGGAGGAGGGATTCTCACAAATGGAGGAGCGCGGGGTCACCGTGTGAGTGTTTTTTTTTCTCTCTCTCTCCAATTGTGTGTTTCTTGCTTTTAAGTTACGCGTCAATGTGCGCGCGGGCTGCGCGTAAACCACCTTTGCCCCCCCAGCCTTTAAATTACCGCCTTTTCCAACTTGAGCGCACCACCCACCACCTAATCAATTATTAGACAGGGCGCAGACTCCGTCAATACTGAATGGTGGAAAAGGTGTCATCGGGATGCACGTCGAGGCGGGCTCAGGTCGTGCATTGACCGCCAGTGACATTGCGGTAAAGGAAGCACGCGAGTCTCTTAAGGTCAGGAACCAGCAATGTTTACCTCGCTTTGGCAATATTGCCTCCCCCTTTTTAGATGCAGCATTAGTTCATGCTCAGTTCATCTTGGTCTGCGTTGGAGGTTTCCACATGGGCAAATTAAATCCCACCTAACTGGATTATCTAGATTTGGCTCCCTTTCTTTGGAATATTTCTGACAATATGGCTTCAAAATTCATATCATGAATATTCCGGCATTTCATGCAATCAATTCCTCTTGACATCAGGAAGGCTTGTAGATAGTCAATCCGCTACAGACAATCCGACAGGAAATAATGTTCTTTCCTACAATCCAAATGCATCTATTGAGCACACTTAATGGGGGACGTAGCTCTATTCCAGCCACATTGGACCCCCGTGCCAGGATGCGTGCTGTCACATGACCCATAAAGCTATTTAATGGTGGTGGTGGGGGGTGCAGGGGGTGATTGGCATTCTCACATCTTGCTCCAGAGAGCCCTCAAATCCAGATAGTTTGTACATTTGCATATCTTCCAAAGTGGAGGGTGCGAAGGACACGTCAAGGACACGCTGCTTCTATAACAGGAAGCCTCGCATGCTTTCCAAATTGCGAGTTCGTTTCAGATGTCATCTTTTTCCGTGCTCCTTTAAGTCTCCGAGATATGACATACACGCAGATGAAAAGATGGCAAAGTGATAGAAGCTGCCTGCAGGTTTGACACCTGTCTGGGGTCTCCTCATCACTATTCCACCTTTTAAACAGCCGGGAGGCAGTAAACCGCAGAACAGCTCACAACTAAAGCGAGAGGTGAATATTTGGAATCTTGGCGCCTCACTGTGATATTTTAAAATCAACGAGTCGCCAAAGTGCAGCCTCCTTAAAACTGTTTAGTCAAAGGGAACAGCGGTTCTTCTGGCGGGCGCCCACTTTGACCAGACCACCAATTGACTGCTGTCAGTCATGAGTGGAGTCACAACTAACCTGTGGTACCCTTCGACTCTCGCTTAGACACACACACACACACACACACACACACACACACACACACACACACACACACACACACACACTGTAGACATAAAATGATAGCCCAGACTCTGCCAGTCCCAGCATGTCTAATGACATAAAAATACAGCAAGGACAAGAAGGTGTGTGACAACAGTCTGTATGTTATTAACACTGACACGGTTTGTCTTTGTCGCTCTCCTCGGCTGTGGCGCAACAAACATTAACGAAGAAAAAGAAATACACTGTGTGTGTGTGTGTGTGTGTGTGTGTGTGTGTGTATATGTCAGCGTAGGAGGAAGTTTAACACTGCAATGCTCCAGAATGACAGATGGAAAAAAAAAAGTAGAGCAGGAAAGCTGGGAGACAGGTCTGTGTGTGTGTGTGTCTTGTGTTAAAATAACAATGAGCTGTTGTATGCTTTTAGTGTGTATGAGTCCCAAAGACCTGCACAACTAATAGCGTGTGTGAATTTGAATTTGCATTATGGTGGTGTGATTTCATTTTGGTTATAGAGGTGATCCCATTATTTTTTTATGATTGAGTTAGCCCCCCCCCATCCCCCCCCTCACCCGACCACAGAAATACAGTTGCTGGCTGCCAGAATATCTCAACATTGATACACCTTGATAGAGCCAGGTTCAATCAAGATTGAAGTCATAAAATATGGAAGATTGAAAGTGAATTATTGAAGCTGCAGGAAGTTACTATTCTGGCCGTGTAAGATACACGGAAAAAAAATGTGTGTCTTTTAAATAAAGCCCACTGATTTAGTCCTACCGGTTCAATATTAAGACGGCCTTGGCAAATGTCGACATGATTGTTTCCCATCAACAAATGTCAGCTGTCACGAGCATGACACAAAGACATTCAAATACTTGCAAAAGTCTTGGGCTGCCACCGGCTGTGTAAATGGGTCAATATTACTATCAAGTGTCTTTGGTGTCTTCATCGGTCGTCATGAAAATGTAGCAGGATGATGAAACGCTGCGGTTTTATTCTAAGCGGCTAACCAATACAATAAGTCTTATCTTTCCTTCATTTTCCTTTTTTTTTTTTAATGGAATGTGTGAGATTTGGGCAGGTTCCACACTGCTCAGCGAGTAAGAAGTGGTTAAATCATGTTCTTATTTATTTTATTTTATTTTATTTTTATAAATATGGTGTTAACCCTTTCAGGGACAGATGTTACTACGGTGGACAGCTTATCATGTTATCAGGTAACGGGGTGCGTGAAAGGGTCGCCTTTCTTCAATGCAGGTTAAAACAGCGGTGTGTTGCAGTGTAAAAATATTGACACTTGTGTTTCATAATTGTCATCGTATGTGTGTCGTTAGATGTCCACTCTGTCACGGTGACATGTCAGTTGATTTAAAAAAAAAAAAAAAAAAAGAAGCCCGTTCATCAATTCAAAATATATTTGGTAAGCAGTACCGTAAACCGTCAGTTTGCTAAATGAATCATGTTGCTCAGTGAAGGTCCACCAGGTGCTCCTCGAATAATAACGTTAGCGAAATGATGTCCACCCTGCCAACAAACTCGCATACTTTGCAACAAGCGCAGATATTTTGCTGTGCGCATGGACATTGCCCGCTTGCCGTTAATTCATTTTAATTTATTTTTTAATTGGGAGAGCTTGACCAACATGCACATCGTATACTCAATACAATGAATATGAAGTTCTTATCGGAGATGCGGAAGGCTCAAAGGCACCTCAGGGTGATTTTCATTTTACTTTCTGGAGACATGGCCCAATTAGTAATCCATTTATTTCATTGTGCATATGGATAAACCTACAGACACAGAAGTTGTTTTTTTTTTTTTTGTTTGTTTGTTTTTAAGTAACCGGTATTAATCCACAATGATGGCTTGGTCGATGATGGGATTTTGAAGAACAGCAATAATCTAATCATACAAAGTGTAGTTGTCGCAGTGAATCATGAGCTTCCAGCAGTGCAGCCCCCTTACAGTACTCACTAAAATAGTCACTACATCCACAGTGAAAAAAAAAAACAAACAAATAAGAATAAGAAAACCTTTATTCGTCTTATAATGGAGAAATTCCCAATTTACAGCAGCAAAGTTATGAAAGGAAGAAAGGAGAAGAACAAAAAGTAGAGGAGCTGCTGTAAAGGCAGCAAACAAACAAAACCTTGAGCCGTACCAACACTCAACTTGGAACGGGGACGTCATTGAAAAAGCGCATAACTAAATCTAGTTTTCTCATCTTCTTCCTGTTCAAAAATCATGATTCTCTGTTTGAGACACACACCCCTGGAGCGCCCTCAGGATGCGGCATGAATGACGACACGAAGTCCAAATAAAAATACGGGGTATAATTCTCGGCAACCCGTGAGAACTGGTCCCACGAACATGAAACATACAAAATAAGTGGCGTTACAAAACAAAAGACAAAAACCATGAAGACAATCGATTGAACATAAAATGCACAAAAACCTTGTGGGCTCACACCCATAAAAGGGGATAAACCTTCGCCGAAATCCTGCTTGCCTTGTACAGTAGCTTCTCGGCACTCAAGTCGTCTTCCAAAAATGGCTACGCAAAGCTCACAAAAGTGTCTTTTAGTGTGAGCCGGTGAATGCGCACTGCAACCAGTGTCGGGTGGAATCTTTCTATGCGATAATTTGTTCTGGCCAACAATCGCCACTAGATGGCATCAGAACACCAACGGTGAAACTGCTGTATGGGGAAATAGCGACAGTAACGACGCCCTTTCATAGATTTTTGCTGTGCGTAGTAGTCACCCCTATAAAATTCAAGCCTACGTCGGAGCGGCGAATGTTTGCGAAAGTTCCCGATGCAGTGGCAAAGGCGAGGCAAATTGTTGCTAATTTTCACAATGCTGTCCCAAATAGTCGCTGACAGTCGCCCTCTCTTTCCGCAAACACTTTCCCAAATATTCGCGCTAACGTTTCTCATCGTTTCTAAACATCGCTAAAAGTCGCTCATGACATAAACCACCGCTTGATTTTCGCCAACGTTCGTCAGAAAAGTTTGCGAATCTAACATTTGTGACTTTCGCTCAGTGGGATACCACCTTTGGACGTGTTTATTTATTTTTTTGCTCAATTCTGAGAACAAACAAACAAACAAACAAACAAACAAACATACCAGCAATGTGTCATCAAAGAGTAATAAATAATACTTCCCGCTTTGATACTTTGAATGTTTGTTGGTGTTGAAATCAAAATGTTCCCGTCCTCAAATGTGTCTTTTGGTCGGAAGAGGCGGAGAAGGCCGTCTCCCATGTCCCAACGTCACAAATATGTCATCACCCTCAACTCAAATTGGCTCCGCGGAAGATAGTTGTCCTGAAGCACGCACACCTCAAAGCCATAAAAATAGATTGCGAGTGACTCAGCCGTTATGTAAAGTCCATCTTAGATAGGGGCCGCTTCGGGAGCTTTATGTCAGTTTAGTTGGATGCCACTGGAGCTGAGGTGACACATGTCTTCTGTGTCCGAGCTTCAACACACACACACACACACACACACACACACACACACACACACACACACACACACACACACACACACGCTTCTCTCCGCCTTCCTTCATTTTTCACTTTCAAGTCCACATTCCCAAGCGCATACTTCCCAACGGGCTAACATGTGATACACTCAGCATGATCGAATCCCTTCAGGCTAAACTGCTACATTATTAGCATTTTAGAACTCACCGGGAGAGAAACACCACTTCACA